AKWRSTAGTASTASTACTACTASTACTACATTACTAATATTAGTAGYAGTTCATGGTTAGCCCACAAAAAATCGAGGAAATGACTAACAAATTTGAGGGTGATAAATTCAAAAGGGGATTCACAAATTTTTGTTCGTGGGCGCTGGAGGGACCAGAACTATTCGTGACTGTTCCACGTGTCTATCATGATTGATCCAAAAAATAATCTCGTCACGATGTTTTACTGTTCACATCGAGTTTTCCAGTATGGTCAGATCAACAATCTTCGATCGAGTGGACTCTTGGCATCTACAGTACCGGGATAACCTCGGCACAATCATACTGTGTCCGATAGCCTCAGAGGCGAACTCRATAGAAGAAAACRGCCATTGTAGAGTAGAACCYTYGACAACGCGAGAGCAATAAAGAATAATGCGTTTTATTAGACGACAGATTTCACCGATGTTTACGTTGTCTTTGGGCATCGTAGGTGCCCTTTTGTTAGGCATCACGACGACAACTCATGGATTGGGAGCAGGTTCCGGTGGGAAAGATCCAGACCAGCGTGCGACCGTTCGACGGGAYAACCACCTAGATCATTGGGATTCCGACACACTTTCATACTACCTCGATAACTACCCAGGATATGACTTAGCGGTGATGTTCTACGCGCGATGGGACACGAATTCTCAGAAATTGGCGCCCTACTGGAATCAAATAGCTGCATTGCTCGACGCTGGTAGCAGTCAGTCCAAATTGATCATGGTACGTARAGCGGCTATTGGAATGGATACATCCGTCGCTTTCGGCATGAAATTTTGATTCGTTTCTATACGACCCTGCCATTTCTCACTCTGAACCTATCGCTAACTATCTCAACAAAATGGAATGGTCGATTTCAATATGTATCTTAACACAATGTTTGCTGGATCTATTTTTCTACGTATGTCAACTCTTAACACGTGCTTGCCTTTTTGAATAAATGGGATACAAATGATAATGCTGCTTCCAGGCTCTTTTTGATTGCGAATTAAATTCGGCCCATCTGCAAATTTGYGAGGCAGCTGGTATCACCCATTACCCTTCTCTCATGTTCATTGGATCGGGTCCCTTTTACGACAAAGATCCCGTAACGAAACTTCTCTTCGGTAAGAAAAGGAGCGTTGGAATGATGGGAGAGTCTCCCGTGCCAAATACGGTCAAATTCCAGGGCAATTGGCAATACTACGAGTCGATCTTGGATTGGATCAAAACTATGCAAGCGTTGAGTCGATGGCACAYCTGGTCCACAGATGGCTTTGGACAACGGYTACGTACATTTTTCTTGCCGAAGAGAAAAAAGAATGTGCAGCTTCCGGTGGGAGTTCCTGGATCTTCGTCTGGAAGTAGCAGTGGCACAGCAACAAAAGCTGCGACGAACCAAGACATCGAATTCCTAGAACAGAAGGTAAAAGCACACAAAACTGCTACAGAAGATATGACCAAGGCTGCGACACGAGCAGCWACTATGATGGATTCTGTCTTGTTTGGCGATGAAAAGTCAGGCGACATGTTCACCTTTTTGGACGAACGCGACGCTTGGAAAGACACCAAATCGTACAGCWCTTTGGACGACATATATCGAGTGTGCACCATGGAAGTCTCCCTTGATTATTGTCAACGACTAGCAGATCCTGTGGGCACCAAGGTTGTAGACGATTTGATAGCATCGGACTTGACCTCCGATCAACTTGTGGCGGCGTCTGAAAACATCGAGAAGTTGATTATGGAGGAAATTGCGAAAGAGGAACCCTATTGCGCTATCCTTGACGATTGTATTGCAAGCCATATGGGAGCCGAGACCTGTCGACCAAAGGTCTGTCCCTTTRAAAATAACGCCGCATGTTTACTGCTGACCTCCTGCAAAGACCCATCGATCATCAAAGAGTATGCCGAGGTCTTGAAAATTGATCTCGAAACTTCAGTAACTGGATAAGCTGTATATGAGAAAACAGCGCAATGGTCTTTACGAAATGTGGTTGGAGATTTTGGTATGGGTATCCTGCTACGCAAATGAACAGATTGAATATACTACTATCGACCTAGAGAAGATGGTTTTTGCAGAACACTGAACACTTTGAAACCTATTACTGCTATTACTRTGTCGATKATATCCGAACAAAACAATTCATAGTTGTAGCCAACGGCAAGTGTACTCTGATTGTTGTTTATAATCGTAGTCACTATTTTCACCGAAGCATCTTTATTCTTCGTGATAGTCATCACCAGCACCGTCCTGCATTACACTCTTCAGATCTACTTTGATTTCATCAACATCGTCCCCCTTTAACGTGCTCTTGACGAGCGTGCAGTCAACTTTGTAGTTTAGCATCTCCAGTGCACCGCGAATTACTCCGCAGTATACGATAGTATACTGGAGTGTTTCTTTATATTCGTCGGGCAGCTCTACAAAGACCGTGAGTGGATTTTCGTGCATAATCAAACTAAAGGACTTGGCACTGTGTTGGTGGACGTCGCAGTTGGCCCCCAAAAACATTTTGAATGCTGTCTTTCCCAACACGTTTGACGTTTCTTCAAAAGATTTGCAWACTGCGACGTCTGACTTTGCCAAGAACTCGTCCACACATCGAATGCCAATGGAATATCCAATGTTTTCGAGYTGTTCATTGATCTCTTTTACGTTTCCATCGGCGTCTCCTACGACCTCCATCACGAGGGCACCGTAAGTAAGGGCGAACAGTTCGGCATTGGCTTTGGGTTGTTTGGCCCAGAGAGCTTGGCCATTTGCTGCAGCTGATGATTTTGACATGGTGATAATTCGAAGTAATGCCTTTGGTCTTTGAATTAGTACGAAAGCTTCTGTTCCATTTCGAGGCTAACCCTGTTCAGTGTGCAGTGGCTAGATTTTCAAGTCAGTCCTTGCAGATACGAGAGTTCGAAAACAAAGACACCCTTGCTTTTGAACGCTATTACGTAGTAGTACGTACCGTAGTACTACTCGTACTAATGTGAAGTTTTCTCATGGGACTAAAATAGAGTCATTGTTGTCCTCGTTTTCACTCGTAATGAAGTTAATCTTTGTTGCATTTTTTGTGCAACCCAACATGCTAATTGAAAGTCGCCTGTCGGCTTACTTGTGCACAACTAGTGTTTCAACAATACAGTAAGAAGGGAAAAGGTCATGCAGGACCCCTATTACTACTAGCTACTACTACTAGTAGTATCTTGTAAGAGGTACTACTACTAATAGCTACTACTAGTACTAGTACTACTAGTAGTGAGTAGGTACTAGTAGCTAGTACTACTAGTACTACTACTAGTACTTCTTCTTGGCTGTTGTGTTGCTGTTTCATAGTAGTACTACTAGTACTAGTACTACTAGAACAACTCCTGGTGGGGACTACTAGTACTAATAGTGGTAGTACTACTAGTATTAGCTACTAGTACTACTAGCAGTACTAGGGGGGGGAGTCATTTGTTATCATTACTACTAGCAAGATTTGGCAAAAGAGATCAATGTAGGAGAGTAGCTACAGAAAAATCAATTGATTAGTAGTACTATTCTGTTTGTTGGCATCACCAGCATCTTCCTCTAGAAAACTGGCATTCTTATTTGAGCATAATTTCTTCGTGTCAATCAAGATCAAACCTGTTTCTTGTTCTGGTTTGCCAGCACATCATTGTGATTCATTTTCCTACTACTAGTAGTAGTAGCACAAGAAACATTGAAATATTGCTCCTCCTCCTCCTTGATTACTCCACCACTATTTATTCCCACTTTTTCTTCTAGTATCACAGTATTTTCTATCTTTTTCAAATGCAGGATTTAAATTTCTATGAGCATGGTGGTTCTGCCAACCAACATCATGGAACTCATGGTGTTCAATTTGCTTGTTGACAATGCATCCATCTTGTTGCACAACCATTGATTCAAGGACTTCTTGGCTGATTGTTGAAGCTAGTATGATCATACTGATGTCACACCAGGCAGTCTTGTTTATCCTGTTGTGTTCTACATTCCATAATATGACAAYATGCAAGATTTTCTTGCATACTGGTTCCTTCTATGGTGCCTTGTCATTCTTTTTTGGCACTGTGTTCTTGAAAGATATTGTGTTACACTTTTCTCCATTTTYATCTACT